CCTTTGCTTTTCCTCTTTTCCTGCTAATGCTAGGCTGGCTCGGGGCAGGGCGGCCTGGCAGCTGGGCACAGTGGCCGGGAGGGGGAGGAGCCTTCCAGGCCCCGCCCCGCCCCTTGCCAAGGCCCCGCCCACCAGCGGGGGGTTCCGACAGAACCCGGATCCACTCCCCCAGTCAGCCGTGATGGAAGCGCAGACCCCAGGCAGCCGCACCCACGCCTGCCTGCGGGCAGCAAGTCTGAGTCGGAAGCCAGGGGGCGCACCTCCTAGGTATCGGTGACGCCGAGGCCAGGGGAGCCCCAAACCCAGCCACCTCTTCTCACAGCCCTGTCTGCTCTGAATGTGGGGTCAGAACGTTCCAGACCTTGCTCATACAGGTCTCGTGTCTGAATTTGCCAAACTCACTGACCTCATTGCCCAGAGGACAGCTACAATGCTACCCCGTGTGGTGGCTCACGCCTGTAATCACAGTACTCTGGGAAGCTGAGGCAGGAAGATTGCAAGTTCAAGCCCAGGCTGGTGATTTAGTGACTGAGCGAGAGACCCTGCTTCAAAACAGAAAATAATTTTAGAAGAGGGCTTGGGGTGTGGCTCAGTTTCAAAGCCCCAGGTTCAAGCCCCAGCACCACACACAGAGTGAGCACATAGCTAGCACACAACAGGCCCTGTATTGTTCCCAGCTCTGCGGAGACAAAAAAAGAAATCCATTCTCTGCTCTTTTCCCAGAGAACACCCAAGACAGAAGGCACAAAGTGTCGGATGTCACAGGACAGAAAAGATGTGCTGGACAGATCCTGAGGAAGCCGCCCAGTGGCAGAGCTGACTCACACTGAGGGCCGGTGACACTGTTACTTCACCGATGGTGGAATCCACCTGCCAGGAGATCTCAGGAGAGTTCTTACTTGTGCCTCTCACAACTCAGCCTCAAATAAAGCCAAAGGAAGCCCAGGAGACGGGCACTCCGCAGCCAGCACGGGCGGGCCCTTCCTGTGCAGAGTCCAGCAGGCACAGGTGCGGGGTGTGGGTGCCTCTGCCACCCGCTGCTCCTGCCTGGCCCTTCACCTTGGGGCAGGGTTGCCAGGTGTGTGGGAGGCTGGGCTTGTGGGCAATGCCTTGTAGAGACAGGGCTTCTGGGGGACAGCGAGGGCGCCAGTGCTATTGGCTCCTCCGGGCATGTGGCTGCTGTGTCTGGGACAGGAGCAGGACCCAGGCCCACTGTTCCAGTTGGCGTGGCCACTCTGGCCTAGTCTTGGCCCCAGCTCTGCCTGCCGGCAGCCGGCAGCCCATGGTGCAGGGCAAATGTCTTTGCTTTGGCCGGGGGACACCAGCTCCTCCTGTCACCACCTGGGCCTGCTGGGTCTGGACCTGCCACCCACTGGGGCCTCCGAGGCTGAGCCTGCAGTTTTCAGGGGCCAGGTGGTCCACATGGTGGGGGCCCAGGCTGCAGAGCAGGACTGGAGCCCTTCTGGGGAGGCCCGGTCTTCGGAGGCCTCCCATCCACACATGCTGCCCTCCCCCAGAGGTGTCTTTCCTCAGGGCCTGGTCTCCGGCCCCCACATCTGCTGGCCCCCCACGAGCGCTGCCAGGGGCCACCCTGTCCCTGTGTGACTCGGGAGCCCCATCCCTCCCGTCCTGGGGAGGGTGCCAGCTGAGACCCCCAGGAGTGGGGCACAGGCAGGTGTGGGCAGACCCTCTGAGGACAGGGCTGGTGACCCCTCACCTCGGGCTTGGCCTGGGAAGGAGTCCCACCAGCTGGCCTCTGCAGGGCCCCCACAGTGCCCCGTGCTCCAGGCTCAGGGGCAGAGAGGGTCAGGATGTGGGGTTTCCTCCCACCTAAGAGGCTTTTCCAGGGAGCCAGGAATTGGTACAGAGGAGCAGAACCCAGCCAGAGCCAGCCCAGCCCTTCCTGGCTCTCCAGCACCCCAGGGCCAAGCACAGGCCCTGCCCTCCCAGTCACAGCTCCTGCAGGGTGGTCGCCACCACTCGGTCGAGTGGGACCCCCAGACTAGAGAGAGGGTACAGGGGCTCGGCCACCACGGCGGGGGATGCTGCTTGGGGGAGGTTGGACATTTGCGTACCGTGTGCAGACGGACATGGAGGGAGGTATACATGTGCGTGTACGCTGCACAGGCACGTGCAGCACACACCCACACACGCATGCGTGCACGTGTGTGCACCTAGAGACCCCTGTCGCTGTGGGGACACTGACTCCGCTCTTGCTCTCAGAGGAGGGGCTGGCAGAGAGGAATGCGTGTCCTGCAATCCTGTTTTGTTTTGCAGGAAGTGACCTTTCCTATTTTGGCAGGGGGAGCTGGGTTTTTCCATCCTGGCTGTGGTGGTTGCAGCGGTGGGAGCAGGAGGGGACCTCGCAGGAGGCTGGCCCCTCGCTGGTGCCTGTGCTTCCGCCTCCCCCTCGGTGACCATGTGCACCTGGCCCTTGGCCTGGGGCTGGGACCCCAGTTGCACAACCTGGCAGCGGCGGTGCCTCCACCCTGCGTCCCGCTGTCCGCTCCAGGCCGAGGCGGGGACCCCGGCCCCAGCGCAGGGACTCAGAGCAACCCTGCTGAGACAGCAGCCAGACAGGAAGGTGCACGTGGTGCGGCTGCTGTTAGAGCAAGCCTGTCAGGGAAACCGGGCCACAGACGGAAAGCAGAGTGGGAGGGGTAGGGGAGGGACTCCCGAGGACCTCAAGGGACTCTGGGGACAGACACCTCACCATTCTGCTTGGGGCAGTGGTCTTTCCGTGTGCACCAAGCCTCATCAAATGGGAAAACACAGAAACAAAAGCCCATAACGATGGAGTTATGTGAAAGGGACACAGGGGCCAGGGGTGGTGGCACACGCTTGTCATCCCAGATACTCGGGAGGCTGAGTCAGAAGGATCCCGAGTTCTAGGCCAGCCTGGGCAACTTAGGGTGACCCTGTCTCAAAATAGAAAAACAAAAAGTGCCGAGTAGAACACTTGCCCAGCATGTGTGAGGCCCCAGGTCCCAGCACCACCAGAGAGAGAGGGAGGGAGGGAGGGACACGGCACTCCCAATGGCCACAGTTGAAAGAATTTGAGCAACAAAATAATGCAGCATCAGTTCACACCCCAACGCAGAACATAAATGTCCACAGCACACGTTGGTATAAATAAATGATTGCGCAAGGGAACATGCACGGGAGAGAGGAGAAATCTCATGAAGAGAAATTCCCAGCCAGCACAGGCCCAGTGCCCGCTGTGAGCAGGGGCCAGGCCCGCGCGCCGGTCAGGGGCAGTGAGGGGCAGGACAGCGGCGACTTCACCTGAACAGGCCGCCCTATACCCTGGGCTAGGAGGCCACGGCCAGCCCAGCAGGGCAGGGCCACGTCCAAAACCACGGAAGGTCACAGAAAAAATGCTCGCCGGCCCCAGGGGACACGCAAAAGGCCACGGGGGTCACGGGTTGGATCCTGACCGGAGGAGGGGGCATCCGGGAATGAGGGCAGCTGAATAAAATGCGAAGGCCCTGCCGAGCGGCGGCCTGCTGGCTGTGGCAGTGCCCTTGAGTTCAGGATCACCCTGGCACTCTCCTCCTTGTGTGTGCGTGTTCTCTGCTCAGCCAAAACCGTTCAGAAATTCCACATTGATTTCTCAAAACTCAATCAGCCTCTGCGTCGGAGGTGTGCAGTCACCACGTGTCCACCTGTCCCTCACAGCTGTCCTGTGGGCGAGTCCGCAGCTGTCCCTGCAAATCCACACTCAGAGACCCAGCCTTCGTGAGACCCTCCTCTCCTGGGCCCCTCACCCTCTCAGGGTCTGCAGGCATCTTTAAAATCCATGCCCTCAAGCCGGGTATGGTGGCACATGCCTGTAATCCTAGCACTTGGGAGGCTGAGGCAGGAGGATCGCAGTAAGACCAAGGCCAGCCTGAACTATATAATGAGACCCTGTCTCAAACACAATAAAATTTTAACAATTCATGCCCTTGGAGATTTGAATCCTGCCTTCATCTGGAGACTCCTGTCTGTGTGGCCAGTGTTTCCCGGGAGTTGGGCTCTGGCTGCTATGTCCCTACAGGATCTCTATGATTGTTGCCTGTGTCCTGGGGATTGAACCCAGAGCCTTGTGCGTGCTTGGTAATCACTGTACCACTGAGCCATTCCCCAGCTGTGTTCTACAGGGTCTCTGTTTCCATCTCACTGGTGTTTTGCTGGCAGAGCAGCCCTCAGTACAGGCTCAGCAGACAGGGTCCCTCCCTGCATCCACTCCAGGGTTGGCTCCAGCCTGGATGGGAACCCAAAGCCCTTGCATGCAGAGCTTCCAACACAGCTCCCTGGGGGGGACAGACAGTGGGTCCGCTGGTCACTCCGTCTCCAGCTGTGTCACCTGCTGAGCCAGGCCCTGCCTGGGGCAGAGCCCCGGGCTGTCACCCATAGCCCAGCGGCAGTGCCCAGCAGAAGCCAGGCTGCCCCAGGGGTCATGTGAGCAGGGTGGGCATGGGTGGCCAAGCCAGGCCCTGGACTACAGCAGACGCAGGACCCACGTGACCCTGCAGGGAGCCGCTCAGAGCTTGGAAGAGGACAGCATCCTCCCAGGCCTTCCGATGCAGGGGGACAGAGAAGCCCAGCTACACTGAGGGATCCTAAGGGGCTTGGGTCGGGGGCTCCTCCTGCAGCTTAGGGTCTGGGCCACTGAACTCACCTGTCTCCAGGACCCTCAGAATTCACTGCAGAGACTATGGGGGGCCAAGTCCTCTCAGGGGCCCACTCTGTGTTCCTCTCAGTCTCAGGGCCATTTCTAGGGGGTGTCAGGAATCCCCCAGGCAGAGGTCCCCTTGGTTCTCGGGTGCAGCAGGCTGGTCAGGGACCATGTCCAGGAGGAGGCTGGGGAGGCGGTGTGGAGGAGATGGTGGCCTCATGAGTGGCCCTGCTCCAGGCTGGACCCATGCACCAGGCAGGCTGGTGCCAGGCCAGCCCTGGTGCAGCACACTCTGTCCCTGCCGCCTGGCCAGGGGACGAGGAACAGCACAGCCTGCGCCCAGTGGGGGTGGTAGACAGAGGCTGGGCTGCCAGACCAGTACAAGCTGGGGCAGGCACTGGGGTCAGCCACCCAGAGGGATGCCCAAAGGTGCTACTGTCACCACCCTGAGCAGGCTGGGAGCAGGGTTCGAACCCCAGTATGGGGCATGGGGGGGTGTAGGCAGGGTGAGGCCTGGGGGTCCTTCTTGGGAACCGGTGGTCACAGTAACCCTCCCTGGGCTGAGATCCGGGACTACAGGACAGCAGCTGGAGACCCCAGCTCCCTAGGCTGGAGGAGGGTCACCCACTTCCCCCGGCCCAGTCACATGGAGGAGGCAAAGGGGGCAGCATCTCACAGAATATCCAGTCCTGGGTGGGGCCCGAGGTGAGCCCTGTAACAAGGTACCATCCCCTCCTCCACTAGAGTGCGGGGCCCTAGGGGTGGGACCTTGGGCTTCAATTTAGAGGATACCTCTTAGTCTTGGGGCCCAGGGTCTGGGGAGTTAGGGACGGGCCAGGGCTGAGCCCAGGAAGGTGACAGGCCTGGGCTGGCAGCAGAGGGCAGGGACAGCTGCATGGGGCTTTAGTGGGGATCCCCACCTGGACACCCAGCAGGCCCTCCATGAGCCTCCTTGAGATTATGGGGCACGCTCTGTCTGCCTTGAACTCCCCCAAGCTCCACCCCACCTGGGACCCCCCTTGTTCCCTACAGGGTCCCCCATGACACAGGGCCAGGACCGCAGTCCTTTGTAGGCTGGGCAGGGGAGTCCTCCAATCCCACGCACCAGTAAGGGCTCCCCACGGCTCTTGGCCAAAAGACTCCAGGGAAGCCCTGTGCCGCACCCTCAGGGTTGTGATCAGCACCATGCTGTGGGGAGTTGGCTGGGGCCGGGCTGCCCCACCTGGGGTGCTGCCACATAACAACAGCCCCTTCCTGAGCCTGAGTGGCTCTGCCCCAGGGGACCAGCCCCGAGCTCCAGAGCGGTGGTAGTGGCCTCGGCCTCCCTCAACCTCTGCTGCACCCTTGGGATCCAGAATGGGCCTCGCCCCTCCCTTCCCACTCCTGGACACAGCGTGGCAATGATGGAGACAGGCTTGAGAGGACAGGGCCACAGTCTGAACAGGAACTCGGGGGCTGCCTGAGTGCTGCCAGCGGAGCCCCATGAAATTACAGGACCCTGGGGCCCACGGGGCGCTGTCCCTGCACATTTGCCTGGCTTTCTCTGCTGTGGTCCAGGCCACTTCCATTCAGAGCCCAGAACGGTCAGTCCAGCAGCTTCCGGGGGCCCTGCGGGACGCCTGGGCAGGCGGTGAGTGGGTCCAGGGGACTCCCAGTGCCCTTCCCCACGACACAGGCCAGGGCACAGCAGGTGAGGGGGCCCACCGGGCTTGGTGAGCCCGAGGGACACAAACCTGAAGGCACCCACAGCCCCTGGCAGCCCGCGGCCCACCACCCTGGCCCTCAACTGCGCCCTGAGCCCACCGCTTGTCCACTGAGCTTCCTCGCCTCGGCTCACGTTCTTATCCCCGCCGGGCCTGGGGGTCTCAGGACCAGACTATGGGGTTGGGGCCTGGAGAGGGGGTGACGGTCAGAGCTTGAAGAAGCTTTGGCTCCAGTGAGGTGTGATGGGTCCCAGAGCTGGGCAGCACTGAGGCACTCGCAGCCTCCCTCTCCTGGCTGCTGGGGGGATTTGCCCGCAGCAGTGGTGTGGGCAGGGTCCCTGGCTGCTCTGCCCTGGGACTGAGGAAGGACTGGCCATGCCCCACCAGTGCCTCACCCGCCCTCTCTCCACACGCTGGGCTGCGGGGCCCAGGCCAGCTCTGTGGGAGCCTCTTGCATAAGCGGCCCTGTGGGGGATGAGGCTGCAGCTGGCTGGGCCGCCCCCACCCCCCGCATCACGAGCCTGAGTGGGCTGTCCTTGGACCTGGGCGCAGGCCAAGCCTGGCCAATAAATAGGGGTCTCTCTGGTGCCCTCGGCTGCTCCTGCCGCCCCCTGCTCCGTGCGCACGGCTGGCACCAGGCCCCGACACCTGCCGGCACCTCAATGGCCTCTCTCCGCTCGCTGTGGACCGGGCTGGTCCTGCTGGGTATGCTGGGGATGCTGGGGGTCCTGCAAACTGCAGCCCAGGCCCAGATCTTGCTGTCCGACTTCCAGCAGGAAAAGGTGAGGGCGCCCCACCCCATCCCAAGGCAGCGCAGGCCCAAGGAACCCGGGGCTTTCGGCGGGGTCCTCTCCCTGGGGAGAGGGCACTGAGCCCCCGGCCAGGCCGAACCTGTGCCCAGCTACTGGAACACGACTGGCAGCCCCGCCAGGAGGCCACGCAGGCGTCTCCCCGCGCGCACACACACACACACACACACACACACACACACACACACGAGGACCACACA